AGAGTTTGGTGGTGCACAGTTGAGCATGGAAGAACTGCATTATAGAGGTGCAAAGGAAGGTGGAGGTGAAAAGGGGAGACACACAGTTGAATCCAGAGCTTTGGTTTTGATGCTTTGCATTCTGGTTACCAGAAGGCAAACAAGAGTGCACAGCAAACAGATGTCACTAAAATTGCTGAGAAATCTTGTTGGGGAGTGCATGGGCTCTGGCAATGCCAAATTGGCATTGTGTGTTCCAAGAATGGATGGCACTGAGCAACTGCTCAATGTGGAATTCTCAGATGGTACTACCAGAGATTTGGCAGAGTGGATGGCTAATCACCAGGGTGCCAACAAATCATGGGGAATGCTTATGAGACAAGGATGGTTGCCACAGAAGTTGACTAGCACAGTGCAACATGCCACTGTGTTTGATGTCCTGCTTTGGCTATTGTATGTGAAAACCACTTCCCCAAGTTCATCTGCCTGGAAAGAGGTTGGGGCACAACTTTGGCCAAAAATACTTTTCCTGCTGGGACAAGCTGTTGAGGAACATGCCTTAGCCCTTGTAGAGAAGAAGCCAGAGGCAGCACCACTTTTGAAAACCAGAGCTGGCAACAACAAGAGGGTGCCTTGGGTGAACAAACTGTGTCTCTTGAAGAAAGTGGCAAAGAACAAGCAACATCGCAAAATCATCATGCAGTCTCACAGTGAAGTGGTTCCACAAACAGCTTCTCTCATAGTCAAAGAGGCACAGTTGGAATGTCAGGAGTACTTGGAATTGTTGGGGCATGCCTTTTCAAGCTGCACTCATTTTCAGATATCTTGGGACCCAAGTACATATTCAGGAGATGAGGTGATGGTTGTGATCATTTGGAGCAACCAAAACAACACAGCTGCCTATTTGCCCATCCAGTACCTCATGCCAGTGCAAGCAGATGAGGTCAATGGTGAAATCAAAGCTCTTGCCCAAAGGAAACAGATTACAAGAATTTCTGGGTACTCAGAGTTGCGTGCTGTGAGTCATGCACTGAAGGGAATCAAGAAGGATTTGTCCATGTTTGAAATTAGAGAGGATGTGTTGTGGAGACCTTTGAAGACACATGAAAGAAGGCATTTTTCAGGTGGAAAGTTTTGGATCTACAACACAAAAACTGATACTTGTCAAAGGCAGCTACCACATGGATGGACCTTCAAAGAGCAACATTGCCTGACATCCTATTCAGACCAAGGAGGCATTAACATGGGGGCCATGGACTACATTCAGCACATGGTCCCTGTTTGCCTACTGGTGGCAAATGATGGCACCCACAGGACCTGGAATGATTTGAAATTGAGCCTTAGGGCCAGCAAATTGTTCAGAACATTTCTCAGTTTTGGTGTCATACAGAATGTTAACTATGGACCAGCAAATCAGAAAACATGGTTTACCAGAAAGCAAAGTGCATTGAAGAATTTCATTGCCAACAGATCCTGCCACCAGAACCCCTTTGTGTCATATGTTCAGCATATTTGCTCTGAAAGGGGTCAGATTGAGGATGGGACATCACAACAAAGGGGGCACTTATTTGCAGAGATGGCCCAAATGAGAACCTGCCAGATCCATGGTCCTCTGACCAAACTCATGAGATGGTTTTCTTGGTGGGAAGCAGCAAGATTCATGCAGGGTGAAGTATGGATGACCAGACTGGTGATGCTGCATGAAGGTACCTTTGAGGATGGTGAGGAGGGAGACTTTGAGACCCCAGTGTTTGTACCTGAGACTGAGGGGGTGACTCCTCAACAGGAACTTAGACATCTCAAAATGAAGTATGGCACTTGGGCACTGGCACCTGCTTTGATCACCACAGAGACCATGTGGCAAAGGCGCCTCATTTATGAGGGTGGCAAACCCCTGTGGACAAAATACAGTCTCATGGCAAAAGAAGTCAAAACATGTGAGCAAGTGCAAGACAACTTGGTGGCCATGGTGGCCAATGAGGGATGGAAGCAAGAGTTGGTTGATTTGCGCCATCAGTTTTTTCACAATGTGGACATGATGAAAGTCTTGTACTTTGACCCTGGCATGGCAACTCTGGCCCATGTTGAGATGCACCACAAGTTTGCAGTGTCCCTCATGGCAGAGAGAGCCCTCAGCCTAGTGGCCCAGTTCTGCAGGCCACCGTGGAGGTATGCAGGGCTCTGCAAGCCTGAACTCTTCAAAATGACCCAGGCCAAAATGCAGAGTGAATTTGAGGTTATCCTGATAGCAGAGAAGCTTGCAGCGCAAGGACACCACATGAAGCCACTGGACCTTGCTCACTGCCTCAGGACACCTTTTGTAAGGCTTCACTTTCTGGCCAATGAGATGGACCAGAAACATGCTGTGGGGTATGGTGCTTCAGATGCTGTGCTCATGGCCCAAACTGCATGCAGAAACCTAGGAGACACAGTGTGTGTTGAGAACAGCCACCAGCATATGAAGGATCTTCTGTCTGTGGCCAGGCATGAGCAGGTTGGCAGGATGCAAAAGTTTCAGACACTTATCAGGTGTGGGGTGTTGGAAGGCAGGGGCATAAACACTGTGCGTGTTAGTGATCAGAAGAAAGCAACAGCCACACTTGGAAGACATTGGGCAAAGAATCTGACTTCTTGTACTCACCCAAACCAGCACAAGATGAAGAAAGAATTTCAAAACCTTATGAAACACAAGTCTTCAAGTCCTGGATTTGAATGGCCCAGTACTTCTCATGCTTCTTTGCTCCTTGCTTTGTGGTTGGCACCAAGTTTTTTATTCTTCCAGTTTTTTGTTTTGTCAATGGCTTAATCCTGATTCTTTTGGCACCTAATGCAGCACAGGTTTTCAGAAGCTGCAGCCCTGGAAGAGTTGCTTGCCCAGGGTGTGAGAATGGAGCCAACAGCATTCAGTGGCTCCAGCATGACCTGTTTGGTGGGTGCCCCAGGCAGCATTGTTGCCTCTAGGCAGTCAGGAGTGATGCTGATGGTTGTGGCCAAAAGCCCTTTCAATTTCTTGGCCTGGGAAGCTCATGTTGTGGGACACACTGAAGATGGGTTTGTGAAAGCAGGGCTATGTGAATCAGCTTCATCCCTTTCCTGGCACAGTGTTTCAGACTTGCAGGATTGGTTGTCAATACCAGCCAGACCAGTGCTCCAAAATGTTTTTGGCCCTTTGATTCTGGAACAGACTTCTGGTGCCATGGACCTGCCACATGCTAGAATAGCACAAGGCCTTGATTTGACCATAAAGCAATGTGTGACTGTTTTGAAGCACTATGGCCAAACCCCAGCTGGGAAAAGCAAGATGGACCTTTACAAACAAATTTTTGCATTGTTTCTAGAGTCACAGGAAGAGCAAGATGATGCATTGCATAGGTCTACCATGGGGAAAAAAGCAAAGAATGCAGCAAATGCAGAAGGTGAGGAAGAGGAGGAGGATGAAGACTTCAGTGACTATGAAGATTTGCTAGAGCAAGCAGAAGAGACAGGGAATTTAGGAGATCCTGATTTGAAGAGGGAAAAGGCGAAAGTGAAGAAGAACAGATCTAAGAGGGCTTTGCAAGAAGCAATTGAGCTACTAGACAAAACAAGAGATAGGGGCAGAGGCAGAGGAAAAGGCAAAGGAAGAGGCAGAGGGAGAGGAAGAAAGGGGAGAGGAAGAGGAAGAGGGGGAAATATGCCAGCTGAAGAGCCTGGCAATCACAGTGAAGAGACTAAAGAGAAGCCAGTGGCTGAAGAAGCTCAGCAGGAAATGGTGGGTGAAACCAAAGAGAAGCCTGCAGCCTTTGAACAGGGAAGCCAAGAGGAAGTGGCACATGAAGCTGAGGCCTCACAAAAGAGAAAGGCTGAAAGTGGTGAGGAGGCTAGAGTTGAAGGTGAAGCAAAGGATTCAAGAGGAAGTGAGGAAGCAATGGGCAGTGCAGAAGCTGAGGCTGTGGCGCCAGCAGCTGCAAGGGCAGGGTCACACATGAGGGCCCCCAACTTGCATGAGACACCTGGTATCTTAGCTGACCTCTGCCCACCACAAGGCAAGATAGTGCTAAATCACATGGACCACAGAAACCTGGGTTTGTACTTGCTGAGCAGTTTTCTTTTTCGTTGTTGTGTCTGTATAAATTGCAGCACTAAGATATGTTTGACACCTGGACTATCTGAGTTCCTTCTCCACCCCACTGTTGGCTAGGGCCTTTTGGGTTTTTGAGTTCCCCTATTGGTTGGCTAAGGATGGGTTGGCAGCTTCAAGAGTTCATCTGACTGTATTGGGTGGCAACCCCCACCCTTTGCACAGAAGACCTTTAGTAGAAGCTTCAACCACCAAGATGCAGAAGACTGGAAGGCAAAGCTTTGCCAAGTGCATCAGTGGTTGTGGGACAAGTGGGGGTATGTCAAAGACATAGCTCCCTTCAGGATAGGAGGAGATGTTGAGCAAGAGCCTGGAATCCTTAGAGATGATGTAACCCAGGCGCTCCAAGGCATTATGGACTCAATGCCTTCCAAGACCAAGTACCCCAGAACAGAGCAGTGAAAAGGGCGCTGGTAGTTTGCTGCCTGCAATGACACCAAAATGAAATTGTAGGTTCAAGAAGGAAACAGTATTATCCAGTATGTTTGGGAATGTTCTGGAATCTGGGAAGTTGTGGACAGGTGGGTTGATGAGTAGCCCTCTGATCAGTCGCCTTAGGGTTCTGAATGAAGATGTACGCCCTGGCGTCGCTGGGTCTCCGCCGCTCTGCTGGTGTGACTTGCGTGGCAGGCGCAGCACATGGTGCTCTCGAAGGGGTCGGATGTACGCCCTGTGTGACTTGCGTGGCAGGTTGCGCGCAGCATGGAGAAGGATTTCCTGAAGCGCTCACTCACTCCAAGGATCTGCGTGACAGCTTCCAAGATATGTTTCGCTGTGCTGTGTCCGCTCGACCTTCCTCCTCCTGCTCCTCCTCCCCCCGCCCGTCCACCAACCACCAACCACCAACCAACCACCACCACTGATTGTCCGCTCCTGTGTCTGGTGAATATTTTTCTGTCAGGCTTGCACAAATCCTTCACGTGCAGGGCCGCACCAGCGAGGCTGCACATGGGATACTGAGGGTCATGCTTGCTGCCCTGTTCATCCCTGAGTTGGAAGAACCCGTTTGACGTCCAATCCCAGAGATTTGTAGAACCCTTCAGCTTTCCCAGCTGTCCAGGCCCAAGGGCAGAGACCTGTCGACAGTCTCAAAGATCAAAAGAAACAGTGAAGCACTGGGTCCCATTCCAAGAGACTGTTGCATGGCAGCTGTACTGTTTGAAACGAAAAAGTCTGATAGCTAGGCTGAGCCCTTGCTGCGGCAAGCCTTGGCCGACTTGGAGGCATCTTTAGGAGTTGATCATCCGCAAGTCTTGAACTGCGTCCGGGTTCACAGCATCGTGTCTCTGAAGCTTCAGCAGACAATGCAGTCTACCAAAGATGTAGATCTGGATTTTGTAGATTTGATTAGAACTGACGCCGATGTAGGCCCCAGAGAGTGGGATGTCGCGACCTCCATATTGCCCACACTTGTTCGACCATCAAGGCTAGAAACTTGGCGGTTCTGCTAAAGCAGAAGGCAGCGCCTGGTGCACTGCCTGAAGCTGAGGTTCCTCATGGGAGGTTACCGGCAAACCCATGACTGAAGGGCCACAGCACTTTTGGGCTCTTGGTTGATTGTGCCTCGTCCACATGTGCGATGTCAAAAGGATACTCAAATGCGCTTTAGACAGTCCCTGCACATGTCACTCATCCGGTTTGTTGGTGATCAAATTCACTGCTGTATACCCAGACTTGCCGGTTTGGACCAAAGGTTGAATGGCATGGATTAAGCTCTTCACAGACTTGGCTTCCGGGCCTCCGGGTCAGTCTTTTCCAACAAAGAACAGCTTTGGCCCGTCGACGATGTATGGCGCTTGGTTTAGATTGTTTGCGGTCGCTTGTATGTGCCAACCTGCAAGCCTTGCAAGCTTCATCTGGCAGGCCCTGCTGAAGCGTGCTGCGTCAGGTTATGCGGAAGCACTGGGTGCAGATCATCCTGAAACGCAGCGCCTGCGCAGGCAGGACTTCTGGGTCGTACCAGGCAGTCCAGATCACTCGGCTTTTTTCGGTCTTGGTGCATCATGACCCGCTTCCACGGGGAGTGTCAGGTTTCAACGGCTCCTCATTTTTGAAGCTCTCGGACAAACCAAGCCATAACTGTCGTTTGTTGCCACAACTTTCAAGCAAGGAACCTCGCGAACTTTCGAAAGTGGCGTCAGCGTGTGCTCGCCTCGGATGAACTCAACAACCCCTGTCAGAACCAAATGGTCATTTGGGAGGCTAAAGACATCATCAAACCTACTGACTATAATAGTGCATGGAAGGTGTTTCTGTTTTTTGGCTGTGAGGTTGTGAGGGTTCTTGAAGGCAAACAATCATTAAACCTGCATTGCTGCTTCTTGTTGCACTTAGAGCTGCGGCTTGCATGCGCATCCACCACTCATTGTGCGGTAGCCTGCTATTTGACTGGCATTGATTGTCTCACACCTGGGGCCGCTCTTCTCAAACAGAAGCAACAAACAGTAGCAACCATTCCACATGTAAATGTGTGCTCGAACAAATTTGGTTATTTATACACATATATATACAGGCCCGTTGACAAGGGTATGCCATACTTGCTCTTCCACGGTCTCCTTGATTTTCTTGCTTGGTCCATGAAAGGAGGATTTTGTAGTTTTCCCGCGCATGGCCTTAGGGACGTCCGTTTCGATGCGATGGAAGCCCAATGCGACGCCCCAGCAGCGCATTGATGGTGTCAACGAAGCATGACATCCTGCGTCAGGGCCTCTCCCGAAACTGGAAAGAATCAGTTGGCAGCAGCGCGGTGGAATGGGACGTGGATAGGAATATGAAGAATGAACCTGACATAATACGGTAGTGGTCTACAAGTACCGGACATTGTAAATAGATGTGTCCAGCAGTGAAACTCTCAGAATCCATACAACTATCCGCAATCCAGCATTGCCAGGGGAGGATGCTTGGGGTACTTTGTTTGGCCTGCAGGTGCAGGGCAACACAGAATTCACGCAAGGGAAAGTGAGGTGGTGTTGATATAATATATATATATATATAATATAAGCATCTGTATATAGTAAGAATTGAATGCGCAGGCTTGGAACTTGGTACCAGGACAAACGCGGTTCTTTCAGGTTGTCATACGACTCTGTCCCGACTGCCAAGCCTCAATTTCAGACGACATGGGCAGATTCTGGACTTCTCAAAGACAGTTTAGGCCACGAAATTTAACAATCAAATAAGCATTCAGCTGATGGAAACCGGAGGTTCAAGAATCTGCTGCTCAATACCCTTCCTGCAGGCACGGCCGAAGCTTCGACCACTGAGCGAGATGTCATCGTTCTTGGAGAGACCGCGTGCCTGGCTTGTGGTTTTGGGACCGTGGGCCGGACATTGCCAGGATGTGCTTGGGAATTGAAGGGTGGTTTTCATGCTCAAAGGTATGATCAACATTGGTTCGACCTGCAACTAATTGAAGCTGCTAGTAGCTATTTGCTACTAGTAGCAATAGCCTCCAACCTACTAGCGATGGCCTCCAACCTAGAAGCGATGGCCTCCCCCTAATAGCGATGGCCTCCAACCTACTAGCTGTTTGCTTCAAGAGCAACTGATGCAATGTCCCAGCAAATGCCAAAGGAACAGCTCTCTCGTGATTGTTTATCCCAGAAAGATGTTTTGCACACAATGTTACGCGTTTTTTTTCTTTTTCCCCACCATCCATTGTGATGCCATTAGCATACCAAACTGAAAGAACTGGATATCAAGGCCAAAGTTGTGGCCGGGGAGGTCATATCCTGTTCTGCACATTCTGCGACACTTCCCTCCGTGATGTGTGAACCTCTGTTGGCCCCATCGTTTGATCATAGTTCCTTTCGACCAAGCCTGCGACAAGGCTGATTGCTTCATCCTTAAGCCGCTCATACCAACTCGCTCATAGAGCACTGTCAAACATCTGGAAACTACATGACCTCATCCAGTTCCTGACACGCCAAAACCGAATCAGACGTCGACCCAAAATCTTGAGCACGTGACCTCGAGTCATGGATGTGGACTCTCAGGGTTAACAGCCTTGGTCCCACAAACTTTGTGGGTGTATGTATTAAATGTATTATATATCGATTGCGCATAGATGCATTATGTCACATGCCACAGTTTTTGGTATTATATATATATATATTAATAGTAATAACACTAAAGAACTATATACCTATGTCCACTTGCTCCCTTGGTGTGTGACGACAGGCGAAGATGCCGCGGGTCCTTCATTTTCGTAGGCAGGTCGCAACTTTGTTGTTCGTTCGAATCTTGCAGAAAGAGTGGACGCTACAGCAACTTTGTGGCATGCCAGCAGGTGACGAGTCTGACGACCCCACAGAGACGGTAGATGAATCAGACGCTGCAGCACGTGAGAAAGAAGAGGACGCAGCACCCTGGAGGAATTAGTTTAGGCAAGACCTTCACAAGGTAAGGGAGCAGGCCCCGCGGCCGATTCACCTGTTTTGCAATGGCATCCGCAGAGAAATTGTTTTAGCTCTCTTTAGCTCTCTCACTCTTGGTGCTCAGGAGTTTTCTTTGGATCCCTTCCCCAAGACGTGTCGGATGGAGTCTTGGCAGGGAGATTTGAAGAATTCAGATGCCTTCAGATTTTGTGAAGCATTCAGATGTCTTCAGAAGACAAAGTACTAGAGATTCAGAGATATGTGAAGATGTATTGAATAGATGCCATTCCCAGGAGCTTAAGCCAGGTGAGGCAAGGGCATGCGAAGCAGCCCAGGCAGCTCGGTTCGCCCAATGGCCCTGGTTTGTGGAGTTACATCGTAGAGTTGATGCTTGTAGGGTGACATTCGGCAATGGGTCACCAAGAAGACTGGTGACCCTGAAGACTGGACATATCATGACGATCCAAGTCCTGTGAAAATCTTTTCCAGAAACAAGAAGCTATTAGTAACAAGTGCATCGCTACTAGTAACAAGCGCCTTACTACTAGTAACAAGAAGCTATTAGAAACAAGAAGCTATTAGTAACAAGGCTCAATCTTGTCTTGCCCTGCTTCGGCTCGCTCCTAGGTAGAGGGTTGCATGGACAACTGTCGTGCCCAGTATTTGCTACCTCGTCCCTTTGTCTTGAAGCCCTTACCAGAGGAAGATCGGAAGGTGTGCCACTTGGATGCAGTGGATGGAGTCATCCAATCTCTATCAGTCTTTAACTAATTTTCAAGTGCCTGGCAACCAGCATCCATTCTACAAAGGTGCAAACATATCTGTAAACCTTTTCCTGGATCAAACTTACAGTTGACTCAGATCCACAGAGTTTCAGCCCAAACAGCCTTTTCGGCTGAGGCTACAATGCATGCATTGACCATTGCGTTCTGGGTCGAACGCAGGCAGGTCAATTGGAACTGCGGTTTCGGTATGAGGGGAGCTACTACTAACAAGTGCATCGCTACTAGTAACAAGTGCCTTACTACTAGTAACAAGAAGCTATTAGAAACAAGAACCTAATAGTAACAAGTGCATCGCTACTACACAAACCGTCTGGAGCAGTTCTCAGATGGTGCATTCCCCGACCTGCAGCTGGCTTTTGGTATTGGGAAAAGATGTCTTTTCGAGAGTCTGTAGGGCTTGCATCTAGTCGTCTCCCATATTTCCATGACGTCTCTGCTTGAACATGTTGTTGTGCCATGCAATGCTCTGAAGCCGTTGCAGTCCAGGATTTGTACAAAGCCGAAAGAGATCGAAAGATGCCCTTTTCTAGATTCTAGAGTCCTAGAGCATGTGAAGGTTATTGGTTCTTGCCAACGGCCCAAGGCCATTCTGTTTCAGGGCTTTCTTGCCTTTTGAGGAACACGATTCAGGAATCATCACCACCGCCCTATACGCTTTTTGCTTGCTCCTTGTCAGTGACAGTTTAGTCTCCAGACAGGCAGGCGGCAGTGGATAAACATATTTTTCACGCCCAATATGTATGTACATACTACCGGTATATATATATATGCATACATATATCACAATTACTTGGTCTGCATATTTCTCCTCTGCACAAGGGTAAGTATAGTTGGTGCAATTGTCTCTTTGCCAGCCATACACCATGCAAAACACTTGCAAGCACACCATGATGGATAGCTTCGTTTGGGCATGCATTTTGCTTGTTACTTGTTGATGTTAAGACTGAAGCTTAAAGGGTTTTTGCATCAGTTTTGATCTGCAGGATGGATTGGTTCGTCCTCAATGTCCATTAGTGCAACTGAGCTGCACAAGGTCCTCTTTGGACGGCTTTAGTGGGACAAACGTATTTGCAATCTATCGTCCTTTTGTCCTCGCTGTCCTCTCCTGTCCTGAACCACCTCCCTATTCAGCTGACCTTATCCCTGTCCAGGAATGGCTACAGTGAACGGCCCTGGCCTTAGTGCTCACTGGTGAAATGTCTCATTTTGCTGTCAGGGTCACTGGTTCTATGATTTCTTTCCCGGAAAGACTCAGTCTTCGATGTCCTCGCAAGTGGGTGGTTGTTTCGGTGCACTTGCCAGTGCCTGCATTTTACTTTGTTTGAATCTTGCGGCTCAGATTTTTGCGTCCCATTGCCAATTTGTCAACTCTGTCTGATCGGATCAAAGATGGCGCAGGCTGCCCAGATGATCGGAACGTTTGCACCTGACTTCGCCCTGGAGGTGATCTCCAGCACGGGCGACAGGTGCAAATCTAATCTTCTTACCTTCAAGAAGCCTGGACAGGCGATGGTCTTAGACTTTTTCGCACCTTGGTGTGAGGCATGCCCAAAGGCTGCTCAGCATTTGGAGCACCTGGCGGAAAGCTACGGAGATCGTTGTGACTTTGTCTTGATTTGTGTAGATGGCTCTTTGGAAGATGCTTCAGCCTTCGCGGAGCAACATGGCATCACCCGGTGTGTGGTGGCATCAGTTGTGGATGAACATGCGCCTGAGAGCTACCAGGTTTCTGGTCTTCCCCATCAATCACTCATTGCACCAGATGGCACTGTGGTGCGAAACTATGAGGTGAGTCTCCCGGAGGACTTGGACGCCGTGCTGGACTCAAACCACTCACTGGTCACAGTACCGAAGAAGAGCACCGTCTCGGACAAGTACAAGGAGCTGGAGAAGAACGACCCCTTATTGAAGGAAAACCCACGTCGCTGGGTAATGTTCCCGCTTCAGTACCCAGAGGCATCTAGGGTTGCACATGATTTCGGAGGGTATCAAAAACGTTCTTTCTGAGAGCTACGAACGCAACATTTCCGAATTGACGTTATTGATAGCTCAGGTATGGGAGATGTACAAGAAGCATGAGGCTTCCTTCTGGACAGCCGAAGAGATTGACCTCGCTCAGGACAACAAGGATTGGTTGAAACTTGCCGAGAGTGAGCAGCACTTTGTGAAGCACGTCCTTGCTTTCTTTGCAGCTAGTGATGGCATTGTGCTGGAGAATCTGGCCCAGCAGTTTTCATCAGAAGTGCAAATTCCTGAAGCCAGGGCATTCTATGGCTTTCAAATCGCCATGGAGAATATCCATTCGGAGACCTACTCACTTCTGATTGAGCAGTACATCAAGGACCCCAAGGAGAAAGACGATCTCTTCGATGCGATCCACACGATGCCAGCAATTCGTGACAAGGCAAGTTGGGCGATTCAGTGGATGAATCGTGAGAGCAGCTTTGCTGAGCGCTTGGTGGCCTTTGCTGCTGTCGAAGGCATTCTCTTCAGCGGATCCTTTTGTGCAATCTTTTGGTTGAAGAAACGAGGCATGATGCCTGGCTTGACCTTCTCCAACGAGCTCATCTCGCGGGATGAGGGGCTTCATGCCGACTTTGCCTGTTTGTTGTACGGCATGCTGCAGCACAAGCTGCCGGAGGAGGTCGTGCATGACATCATACGGGGTGCCGTTGATGTGGAGCGGAAGTTCATCTGTGGAGCGCTATCTTGCGATCTCGTTGGCATGAACAAGGATTTAATGACACAGTACATCGAGTTCGTGGCTGATCGTTTGCTCACGGCCCTTGGCCACAGCAAGATCTTCGGCTCAGCAAATCCATTTGATTGGATGGAGTTGATCTCTCTGCAGGGCAAGACCAACTTCTTTGAGAAGCGCGTGGGTGAGTACCAGAAAGCAGGAGTTATGGCAGGCAAAGAAGAATCTTTGACAGCATTCACACTCGATGCTGACTTCTGATTGGGTGCAAGGACGAGCAATGTACAGGACGGGTTGGTCAATCTTTTGATTGGATATGTCACGGTTTTCCTTTGTCGCCCGTGGGGTGGGCGCAAGGACAGATCCTTCAGAGGTCTTGCGCGCAAAGTCTGTGTTGCAAGGTCTGTGTTGTTCCTTTGTTGATCTTCCAAGTCTTCTCACCACCAGCAGATGTGCTGCCGGTGCTTGTAGCCAAATAGAGTGATTCTCTAACAGGATATGGGATGATTGGGAGGCTATAGGACAGCGGCAAAGTTTTCAAGCTTTTCGTAGCTTGGCACTTCTTGGTGGCCTTTGATGCTTGTTGGTTTGACCTTGCAAGGTACAGCGTGTGGGAGAGCTCCTTGGCGGCCAATTGGTCGTCGGTGAGGCCCTAAGCTTTCATCGCACCAAGGCTATGAGAAGCTTGACCCAGAGAAGGAGGTGGCCAAAGCAGCCGAATCCCAAGAAGCTGGCGAGGCCAGGGTGATGCTTCGCCCACTGTTTCCGATAAGACTACCCCGATTTCTGCAGGATAAGTGCAACACTCATATAGTATGCTGGAATAAGGAAACCGATTGGTTGGCAGATGGACAAAAGCACATCAACATGCCCTCCACCAAAGCTGGAAAGATCATGAAGGATCATGAAGGATCATGTTCCTTTCATCTTTTTGCAGGATTAGACGCGGTGCCAAAACCTATGACCTTCACCTGAGCCATGAACATTGTGGCATTTGAGCAGGGTAGCTTGCAATCAATATCGTTGTTTCAGCAGGGTAGCTTGGGCAAAGCTTACCAAGAAGCCCGCTGATGCAGAAAACACGACAGGCAGGATTTAGCTTCGGAAACGATGCCAATTCAAAGCGAGTCTTCAGACTTTTTCTCAGTTTGGCCCTTTGGCCCAAGCTTTCATAGGAACAAAGGGAATCAAAGGGAATTGCTACGAACGGAAGACGCTACTAGTAGCTCCTGGCAGTACTAGTAACAAGAAGCTACTAGTAACAACGGACATCGCTACCAGGAGCAAGGACGCAAGCATCATGCATGATCTCTATATATATATATTATATTTATATGTCTCTATAAACTTGCAATGCCTGTCTCAGCCCGTGCAACCGAAGCAACAGAGGGGTTGAGTCAATGAGTTGACTACTGTCTATCATTTGGTGAGACTTCTCTCTTGATGGCGTCCGCTTAAGAGCGATGGCCTCCAACCCAAGAGCGATGGCCTTCAACCTACTAGCGATGGCCTCTAGCCTCCTAGCGATGGCCTCCAACTTGCTTGCGATGGCCTCCAACCTAAGAGCGGAACAAATTCTCGATTTCATCTATTCCTGAGTCATGTGATGTGGATTTCATCTCTTTGCCATGCGCTGTCATGCCGATGAGCTGATCTACCGTCCTCGCGTGTCTTAGACCAAATCAAAGAGACCAAGTCTTGTGAGTCAGACGACCAAACCTTGTAACGCACAAAGTGGCTTAGACATTTCAGTTTCATTCACTATCCCCAAATTCTAAGGTGAAGCTATTCTAAGACTGAAAGGGGAACCCCCAAAGCAATGGCTTCTAAGGCCAGTTCAACCTGGAGCGGCGATCCGGTGCTTGTTAGGCAGTGAGACCATTTGAAGTGACGATGAGACAATGCCCTCGTGCCAGGAGACCTACTAGGGCACATGTGTTGGGCACCTTCTTTGCTGAAGAACGTGGCACACTGAGACACGCCACGTTGGAGACATCATGAAACTTGAAAGCGCCAAGAAGAACCCACTGTTCTAAGGACGAGGCGGCCGTTTGCTGTTTGCATCGTTTCTGGATGCACCGATCCCCCAAGATGAAAACGGCACCTTGGATATTTCGGAATTTGCCTGAAGGACTGGTTGAAAAAGGGTTGTCAGATCAATTGATCTTCAAGGTGTGGCACCAAGAGACAAAAACCTCTTCCCAATCGCAGCTTTTGTGCCCACGAAAGTACCAAGAAGCTTGCACTGCCGTCACAATGCGCAACTCCAAATGGCTTCCGCCACCAGCTGTCAGCACACAGGATTTGTTCAATGCCTAGACTGATGTCAATCCCAGACACTTTTCTATCAACATCACGTTGAAATAGTTAAAGACCATCGATGCGATTACATTTGATATTACAATTTCCAAGAATGCAAGTTGATATAATGTGGCCATATATGCTCTCACCAAAAGGAACTCTGTAGGCACCAGTGTTTTGAGGTAAACAAACAAGTTGTGAGAATCGATGCATATCAATGCGTTTACATTGGGAAACACATTTTTTGCAAGGACTATGTCAGGACCCCCGTCATGGTGTAGTGTTTACATGGGATTTCTATAGGTTTTTTGACTATGCAAGGTCTTTCTTGTGTGGGTGTATGCGTCAGAATGGAGTCGACCTGGATAATGTCATTGAGTCGTTGATATCAAAGTTTTTGTCCAATTCATCGCCTCATTCATTTCTGCTGGCATAGGCTGATTCCAAGACCGTGGCTGTATGTATTTGGCACGGTGCATATCACAAACATTTGCCTCTAGCTCTACCGCATGTTTGCAGACCAATGCCTACGGGACACAGAGCAAAGTGACAGGGTATAAGCCCACTGATCGCACACGAAACCACACCAGATTGAGGTGCCCTGAGTTGCTAGACACGCATGCCTGATTGGTGTGGAAAGACCTTTGTCAACCGAATCTGAAGCGATGATTGAAAACCATCCTGAGACAGGCCCCGCGTGAGAAACAGCATCAGGCATCAGGCCAGAAAACGTACTACATACATAACCGATCTTGCCACAAACCACTTTAGTACGTTTGGCAGCATTGGACTTTACCAAGAGAGGTCGCCAGCGCTGGGGGTAAATCTCAAGCACATAGTTGTGTGACTTGGGTTCGAAGGAATTGGTCCATGCGAACCACCAAGGACCTTCCACTGGTGCTGAGACCACTGAGGCCGATGCTGGACACTTGAGAGACCTCAGATGTGGATAATGAAAACATATCATCACATCCATGTTAGTCCCAACATTGAACATAGACTCCACGACAGGGGCCGCTGGATCCGCATGGCCATCCCTTCAAGCAGAACAAGGCCGGCCAAATGTATGAGGTGACAAAGTGATGCAAAGTGGCGCATCAATAGCGAGAAGCTACTAGCAACAAGGGCATTACTGTACTACTAGTAGCAAGAAGCTACTAGTAACAAGAAGCTATTAGTAACAAGTGCATCGCTACTAGTAACAAGTGCCTTACTACTAGTAGCAAGAAGCTACTAGTAACAAGATGCCTGAGCAGTTGCCCCTGTTGCTGCGTGATTCCCATGCTCCGAGGTATGCGGGCACGTCCTCGCAGCGGGAGAGCCATGGCAGAAGATGTCCAGGGCGAGGGGATTAATTTGATCCCTTTGACAGGTCAGCCACGAGCCTTTTATGCGATCTCAAGAGTTGATGAATACAGGTGGACTGGTGGACCGTTTGTGCAGGTACGAAGGAAAAACTGAGCTCCAAAGGTTCGAAGTTTTGTGATATTATTTCTCTGGGAGGCTCACCTGGAATGGCAACTTCCAGATCACAATACCGGAAGATGTCCTATTGAACTGCACCAGCCACTCGTTGCCCCTCCACCGGAAACGAAACCTGGGTTACCTGGGTTTGCAGTGCACACTTTGAGCTCATTGAAAGGAGCAACGATGCTGTGAGAAGCGCACTGTAGATGCGTGCCACGAGTGCTGCGTCTTATCTGCACTAGGCAGTAGTGGGTGCATGTGGATGCGGCCGGTATTGGATAATAGGAATTTGGTCGCGCAGAGCTTGGATATAGGTATATTGTTGTTCAGTCATCAGTGCAAAGCTCAACATCACATGAATCGCTTGGACGAAAGTAATTAGCCGGACAGCAAACTGTTTGCTGAGGTATCAAGAAGAGCTTCGATGGGATTGAAGGGGAGCCGACCAGTGACACCTGCAGAAGGACATGCATCCGGATGTGCTACAAAGGCCTGGGCTGTCGAGCAGCTTATGACTGGTCGATGTTTTGCTGCATGTTGGGCGAGGCAAAGATGCCAACAAGCCTGGGAAACATTTCCCCAGATGCCCAGATGATCCAGACTCCAGCGTGAGTTTATACCCGACCAACGACCAGGAGATCTAGGGAGAGACTGACAGTCACCCGTGACCAAGTACAGAAACATCAGGTCGCTTTTCAGCATGTGTTTGCAAGCCATTCGGCTGGAAGTTCCTTTCTCCCAAATGTACCACACAAACATATATATATATATATACATATTATACATATATATATATATGTGCCTTTATTTATCTTTATTTTCCTTCATCATTATTCATTTTTCTCCTGGCTTTCCTGCCACCAGGACTCGAAGTTAAAAGACTTTGTCCAAATTGAACAGCCGATGCTGAGTTGAGAGGGCAGGACTTGACGACTTTCATCCTGGATGTAGTGGAGCAGGTCAAAATGAGCGCAGATGGATCCGTGTGAGTTACAAATAGTGTACCACCGAAACCCATAGAGTAAGAACTTGGTGGAGATTTTTCCCAGTCCATTTGTTCCATTTTTGTTTGATCCAGCTAGGTTGGTATGTCCTGCTGAGTGCAACGATTCTCCTAAGGTGCACCCGGAGCTGTGAGGCGAGTTGTTCGGATGCTTGCAGGAAAAAGAGCGCCCGGTTGAGGAAGTGCGTCATTTGATGCGTTTCTTTTCGATTCGTGTGGAAATTTGTCACACGTGCTAGATTGATCACTTTTTCAACCTGGATACTGGGGAACGCAATTGGTTTGGGTCGGACATGGCAATAAGAGCAACGTGGGAACCTGTGAATGACGAATCGTATCGAATCGTGACCAATGGCAAAACGTCTGCATTGCATGACCTGCTCAAATTGTTCCAGAGAGGACTCTGCCGTTGAAGAAAAAGATCTCACTGTACGTGCCCTTGTGCAAAGCGTGCAGGCGCTTGGCCGGCATTGAGCATTGAGTGTTTCCAATAACATCTAACATGAATTCGAGTGTATCCAGACATGGCCTAGTTCCTGCGAGTTTTTGATCAGTTGTCCATCTACCACTTGGGTCTTAGGGATCCATCAGTGTTGGGCCACACAAGTTTCGAAGGGAGGAATCAGCAGAGAGTTTGGGTCCTACTTGATAGAAGAGAGACGAATGACAGCATATGAGAGAACCTGACATCCGCTCCAGTTTTCAGGATAAGATCGCCGAATTGGTTCCAAAGAACTCTCCGGTCTCAAGCTCAAATTCACCTGACGACTTGGTGCTTTGCGGAGTCACTGAGTGTAGGAGTTTAACTCATGCCAATAACGAATGCTTTACTGCCTGCTGTTGCTTGACAAACATGTTCACTTGGGCCTCGTGGCTAAGCAGCAAGCTACAACACTAGTCTTTCTCAAGACATTCAGTAACATGATTGGAAGCAGAATTACTTTAAAGCAGCATGTTGAAAGGAACTGCAGAACTTGATCTCTATCAACATGCCATTGACCCATCTGCTGCTCTTCCCAGGAGAACCAGATTTTCAGGATTCCGGGCTCAACACATCCTGGATTCCGGTCGGCGTTGTTGGTAGGCACGATTCGAGTCACTAGAACACTTTTCTATTTTTTTGCGTTTTGGTTCAACTATCTCGGCCCGTGGTTGGACCACATGACATGTGTGACATGCCAGTGGTGTGCAGGAGCAAGCGGCAATTGCCATTTCCACCTTCGGCCACTCTCCTCATAAGTGCCACTTAGTTGCATTTTTACCAAGGGTGACTTCACGTACTTGTTCTTCTTCTTTTCTTTATTACGAAAGCCAGACCCGATAGGCTAGGCTGGAGTTGTCAATGGGCGAACGAAGTGAGCATTAGGGTGTGTGTGGGGGGTGGTCGCATAGGGGAACAAACTCGTAGGGTGAACCCAGAGTCTGGTGGGGGAGAGCGACAAGAAGAGGGCGTCCGCAAAGGAGGGAACATGTATGAGTGCATCATTAGCATTAGCATGATGAGGGGCTCAGGAGGCCAATTAAACAGTCTTCCACCAGGGGTGGGAGTTCATGTCGAGGACAGCAAAGGGGGGGACAACGGGACGTAAAAAGTGTTTGGAACTCCTTCAGGAAAGGGAGATGTGCGTCTCTCAACACCCTGTTTCTTGCGGCTAATGTGAGTGAAGGGGTTGCAAGAAACCATGTGACCCGCTGAGGGCAGGAGAGGGAACAGAATGCAGTGGGCAAGCTGTGAGTTGCTTGGGAGTGCTCTGTTTAATAGTGAAGACACCTAGTAACCAGACGCAAAGCGGCACCCCATACGGGTGAGAGCTCATGTGGAAGACAGGCATAGCGGAGGAGGACGTGATAGGAAAAGAGGGACGAATGAAGTGGGCAAACTTTGAGTTGCTTGGGGGTGCCCGCCCTTTTTTGATGGTGAAGAGGCCTGTTCAACGGACACAAAGCGGCAGCCCATATGGGGTGGGAGTTCATGTGGAGGATAGGCATAGCGGGGGAGGATGTGATAGGAAAAGAGGTGGGGAGCTCACCAGGGAAGCGAGAAGTGCGTCGCTCAGCGCTTTGGAGAGAACGTGACCTCTAGAGGATAGGAGAGGGAAGGGGACAACGTCACAGGAAAAGAGGTCGGAAATGCAGCAGGAAAGTGAGATGTACTTTCTCGCGGTCAATAAGAGTGGAGGGGGGACGTTAGGCAGGATGTTGTCTGTTGAGGATGGGAACAGAATGCAAGTCTGTGACAAGCAAGCAGTAGCCAGCAGCATGCAAGCGCCCGTCAATTCCTTAGGGGCACACTTTTCCAGCTTGAAAACGCCTTTGAGCCAAAGGAAAAAGGGCGCCCCCTTCAACCTATATCTTCTGCTTTCTATTTCCAACAGCAGTAGACATCACCGCCATGTCGACTTCCCCCATAACAACACGATCCACTCTTAGCAGCGCGTCAGGTCTATGAGTCCATCTACAAGACACGAGAAGCAAGCCGCAGACAAGCGCCCCTCAATTACTTAGGGGTGCCTCTATTCTTTACCAAAAGAAAAGGGCACCCCACCCCCATCACCTGTGACTGAGAGCCTGTCATATCGGCCCCGACCTGTGCCTCACAGCGGTTCCAATGCGCTCCCGCATTCGCCCCCCATGACCATATTGATGTCTTCTTGCGGAGGCTGGCTTTCGCCCCTTCCCTTCTCAGGTTTTTTAGCCCGTGGCATTGCCTCATTACTCAAGTAAGTAGGCGCCTACTTGATTAAGTAAGGTGCAAACTCGTTCGCTCCTAGCTACTTGGAAGCTACTAGTAGCCAGACGCAGGATAGCCCACGCTTCAAGGAAACTCCCCCCCGCCTGAGGGCGAGGGGGAGCTTTCTTGAAGAAGCGCTCGCGCGAATGATTTGTTAACCAGACTCTTTGGGACACCTAGGTTTATCGATTCGTTGTGGTGTTTGAACATCATTGCTTATGGGAACCACACACAGTCAGTTCGCAGAGCTTTCTCCCTTTGAATGGCTTTGGCGCATTCACCCGTTTCCAGAAGCTGAATACATGGCAAAGCTACTCAAGGACATGCTTGTTTTTGCCAGTTCTTTTTGTGTAGTCAACATGACATTCTCATGCTATGCAGTCTAGCTGCCAGACGGTGCTTTGAACACCAGCCTTCGAAAAATCTAGGATAGCCGTGCCTGCGCAACAAAAACAAAGGGGTATGTTTGAGCGCCTTTTTTGGGGACCCATTTTGTTAATAAAGCGTGCCTAAGGAGTGGGTTGAATTATATTGTCCCAGATGTGTGTAAATGAGGTTGGCCCCGAAAACTATGATATTCAACAAAAAGGGGCTGGTACCCTGATTTTATTTACAGGATGTACTCTCGGCAGCCAAGAGAGGAAGGTTGAAAAAACTGGCCGACGCAACCGTTTGGGTTGCCCAGAACTTGTCAACATTTTGCCAAAGTCCATCTTTCTTGTGAACTCATGGTGGTCATCATGACCACCAAGCCCATCCAAACCAACAATGAACAAATGAGATCCGTCCGAAAATCTTGGAACCAAAAGCTTTACATCGGTAGGTCATACATTGAGCATACATTGAAAACCGATGAGGAAAACCCAAGACCGATGCCTTTGTAGCATACATAAGTACATACGTACGTACATACTACTACTCTACTACTCTACTACTACTACTACTGCTACTACTCCTACTCCTGCTCCTACTACTACTACGACGACGACGACGACGAAGACGACGACGACTACTACTACTACTTACTACCTACTACCTACTACCTACTATACTACTACCTACTACTACCTACCACCTACTACCTACTACCTACTACTACCTACCTACTACCTACCGACTACCTACCTACTACCTACCTACTACCTATATTACGTACTACCTATACTACCTACTACCTACCTACTACCTACTACTACCTAC